AATTTCCCCCCCCCCCCCCCCTTGAGTTTTCCCATTCACGTTTCTTTCACGGTTTTTCGGTTGTTCTTCTTTTGTTTTCTTTTACAGTCTAACCTGTTGTTAAGTGTTTCAGATGCCTAGCTTAAATTGCGTGACTAAAGAAAGCATATACACAACCTGCTGATCGCCCCTTCCTCTTTCAGAGTCTTCTACATGGCGTAGTCTGTAATGCTCTGTACGACACTTTACACAAATAGCTAATACACATGAAATACATAAAGATTAAAAATGTGACTCTTACTCCAACCCCTCAAAATCGAATTTCATACATAGTTTCTGGGACAGCTAAATTTTATACTTTGAGTTTCAATATTGTCATCAGTGAAGTGGAAAAATACTAGTACTTAAAAACATTTTAAGAAAATAGCACGAGATGAATGATTACTTCTTATTTGAATTAATTTTCCTGTTCTAAAATAATCTGAAAAACGTTTACAGTTGTAGTTTATAGTTCCTGTTCAGGTAGGCGTGTCACGCTGTAGCTTCTGTCACGACAACACTTGAAAAGACTTTTTGTGGCAAAAAAGGCTTCCGTTTAGCCTGCGAAGCGCAGACGTATTTCCGGTCGTCGCTTCTCTCTGTCCGTTATTTTTCGGAGGGAGAGAAGCGACGACCGGAAATACGTCTGCGCTTCGCAGGCTAGCTTCCGTTCTGAATAAAAGTATCTTGCTTGCTCACCCCGTCCTCGGAGACCCAGGGGCAGTCAGTCTGTGCTTGAAAACTTTCGTCACGCCTTTTCTCCCGACCCGACGACTGCCCCTGGGTCTCCGAGGATGGATCACCCTTGTTTGATTTATGGCACATCCAAAAAAAATTTACCCCGACCCCCCGCGTTTCTGTTGATATAGTAGCGCTTTCAAATTTGCAACTTGATGCCAGCGCTTCCACTACAATAGTCATACTCGATACGCCTAGAGCCTAGAGCCTTTCGTGATATTTATGGGAAACGTAATTTACCAGGTAGCATCGACAAAAGGATTTTAAAGTAATAAGAGACACTCACTGGACCCAACTGGGACAGCAGCATTGTGTAAAGCAAAGATTTCCTTGGACATTGCGTAATTGACACGGCGTGGGTCCTTGACTTGCTTGCGTTGACGCGTTGTGCGATGGATAGCAACATGTCGAACTTTTACGACCTCTCCAGTCGACTGTCAGGTCTCTTTTGTGTTTAGGACAGATGGTCATGGCTGCTACTCTGTCTTGAGATAAATCGAAGCGTCCTGCTCTGTTCAAGATGAGCTCCTTCTCAGTGATTTCTATTCCTTCGGATCGCCATCCTCTCTTGCTACTCACACCAAGTCCCAGTAAGTGTGGTGTTATGTCTTCTTTACAAGCATCCAGCGGCAGAACATTTGTACTAGATCCGTAAGAACTACAAGGTGACTCTTGTGAAGCGAACGAACAGTTCATATTTTAAAGCAAGTGTGGTACAACGAAAGTACGCAAATTTCGGCTAGTCGTAAATGAAACCTGATAACCCAGCAGCGCGCGAGACATATAGATGTTGCTCGATCTCAAATTACGCAGCTACAATTATACGTGTAAGTCGCTTATTAATTTCTTAATTTCATATTTTGGCAAACAAAAATTTTCTGCAAAATTCAAGTAAAAAATATTCTCCTGAAACTTTATATGACCGAAAATTCGTCGCACAGACCATTTAAAAATCGTCCATTCATTTCTTTATAATTAATTATAATTAATACCTCTGCTTTATAATTTGTATCATACGTGTACGACTGCAACGGTTTCCGCTGTTCCAAAGTAAGGTTGATTTCTTTTCATTGCAGTATCCTTTCCAAATTATTATTTTTTTTATACGGGTGATGAAGTTTTCAGCCGTCTAAGGTTACAATTTAAAGGCCATTGCCAAAAAGCAAGGTTACATGCTTTATGCAAAATACCGCAAAATCACGTTCACGAAAATAGGCTTCCTGTGAAAAGAGTTTCTTGAACCAATCAATACTTTTTTTCTTTTGACTTAGAAGGGTATAGACTATTGTCAAATGGAATTATTTAACAAACAAGCAGCCGCACTTTCAAGAAAATGGGCTTAGAAAATCGCCGAAATTCGCTGTCCTGTAACAGTCACGCAACATACCCGGGTTAAAACCCTTGGGCAAAATTACCGTTACTCTAAAAATTTGATTTTATGCATCCAAAACGTTTAATTTACAGTACTTTAGCTTCAGAAAAAAATCTGTGCACTAATTCCTTAATGAAAAATTGTTTTAGACCCGAGAAATTGCCATTGTTTTTGGTGGTTTTTAGGGATTCCCTTGGCCAAAAACTAGGGGGGTGGTCAATCTCGGGAGTGAAAAGCCGGAAAATCTTGTTAATGACACCAAAGTTAATCGTATCAGCTTGGTTTTAAATGCTGAAAAAATAAAGGAAATCGGCTGACCCCAATCTTTTGGCACCGCCCGGTTTTCTCTGACAATGGCTGTTAATTGATCGACCTCTGACTGCTCTCTGAGCTTAAGCAGTTTCAGTTTACGAGGAATATTCACCCGTGGCAAATCAGGGCCTTCCTAAGCCATTCTCTAAACTTTTCTGTCAGTCGCATTTCTACCCTCGTTGCATTCTCTGAAAAGCTTCTGAAGTTACGATGAAGCTGATATAAATTAAGCCATTCGTACTTTGGTACTATCTTATAATCAGTTTATATTTGAAATATCCTGATAAAGCAATGAAATCTAAATTACACGATCGAGTTTTGAAACTCAAGTAAAATGCCCATTGTATCAATTGAACTCGTTTAACCCTGAACATAAACTGACTATGGTCGATCAAACTTACTTTCATTATTAGCCGTAGTTGTCTTCAACTTGTTTAAAAGATGTCTGGCGGATTCTTCTGTTGGCATAAGTGTCGTTATTTTATGGTGTTCCAGCGAGCTGCCAGTCTTAACAATGATTTCCAGAGGAAACATGTTAACACGATTTTCAAGGACAGTTAGTCGCTCGTTAGTTGTTTCATTCTTCACCCAGAGACATCCGCAAGCAAAAAGTAGCATCACAGACAGGAAAGATGGCTGAATGGATGGAAGACAATCATGTACTCGCCGAGATTTCGAAGAGTTCAAGGAATCCATTTCTGCCAAGTTCAAATCGTTTTCCAATTCCCTCAGAGATACAGGAAGACGGACTCAGTGGAAAAAAGCCAAAAATTTGCTCCTGGTATAAACAAGTGTATTCATTAAACGGATTTTTTTTGTTTTCGTATGTACACGTACTCTCTTGTTGACCTGAACAGCACACAAATGTCACGAAAGAAAACCTTTACACGATGGAGTGGTTTTTAATTACGTGCCATAATAGCAAGCCAATCGGCACGCGCGGCCTCTATTGCGGTGAACAGGCGTGTCTTTTTAGGGGGCTGGGGTGTGATGGTGACGGTGGTGGTGGTAGGGAGAGGACGAGTCCGCCACGGTTAATTTGTCGCGGCTGTGACTGACGAGTTAACAGGAGACAGGGGCACGGGTGATGTAGACACGAAAGGACATTTTACCTTCCCCAGCTTCCCACGTCGTCCTTTGACGCCTCCTGCTCTCTTTAAGTTTTCTCACAAAATCAAAGAAGGCGACTGGCTGCAGGAAACTCTGGAAGCAAAAAGCCTACATGAGAAGTTTGGCGTTTCTCACAACCTACCCTGCTAAAAGGTTCCGGGTGGATTTGTATGGTCGGCCATATGTTTCAAAATTATGACACGATATACGTGCGGTTTTTTCCCACCTATACTTGCAATCATTCCTGCTACACGATATACGTGCATTTTTTTGCCACGTATACTTTAGTCTGCTACACAGCCGTTTTTAGTGTCGTCACGCAACGCTCCTCCCCACAAACGGCTGCTGAAAACCGAACTACTTTCCTTTCCTTTTGTGTTTGTGGTCTAACGAACAAGCCAATCATGTATAAGAGATCTGACAATACGTGAGCCGCAGGGCGCTAGGAAGCGAGCACGCTTCTCAGTTTTCGACAAATCAATCAATCGTCGCTGACTTTAGACAGGTTCTGTGTTTTCAAGCAGCGAAAAGGTTAATTTGTAAAAAAGTTTGTTTCAAGCGGTCAAGAAAGTTATAAGTGGAAAAAAGGTTTGATAGGCCTAGAAGACTTTTACCAGGATCGGTTGGTTCTTCATTTAAGGTGCATATGTACTGATATGTAATGAAGAATTTAATGTACCGGATGTGCTCATCGTGTTCTGTGAAGACTTAACTCTCAAGGGTTCTGATTCAAAAAGCAATCTTATAAATTATCGATGAGTGATTTCCCAAAACTATACCTCGCAACTTTATGAGTACATCCATGTTGTACATCGCAATTTGCTCGACTTGCTTGCTGCTGCTGCTTATTGCTGTGGAGCGACCGAAGGGAGCGAGCAGCAACATAATCAGGATTTAAAGGAAATATATAAGGGGCGACGAATTCTCGAATCGGTCAGTGTAAAACGCAGACTGCGGACTGCAGACTGCAGACTGCGGACCAGGGGTAAAATGCAGACTGAGTGTAAAATGGCGTCCATTTTGAAAGTGATTGCAACGGCTTCAAATTTGCTACCTTCTGTAGGTTCTAGGAGCGTGGAATCGGTATATTTTTGCTTTCTGAGGACACCACAAGACATCTAAGGGTTGTTATGTATATTAAGCGACAGATCGGCCGTCAGCAATCGATCCCTTCCCACGTTCTGACACAGTTGAGCAGAATCTGAGACAAAAACCTCGTGATGCGCAAGTATGATTTAAAAGTTGGAGTGTTTTACAGTGCTAAGGCTATCCAAGGCGGAGGATTGTGACGGAGAATACAGATAGTAAGACGAGGTAAGCTTAACAGTTTTCCATATTTCATTTTTGTGGTCTGTAACATTTGATATAATGCTTGGGAGTCATATTTGTTGACACAAAGCTGTGATTGATAAGTACAGTAATTTCCCAAGCAGGAAACTGCAACATAATAAACCTGAATCCTTTTACTAAACAGGGCAAGGTGCTGCACTGTGAGGTCTGTGAAATGATTGTAGAAAAATGGTTAGATGGTTCCAGTGATTTTGTTACAAATAGTGTATATGGTGAGTCCTGGGACTCATCTTGTGAATAGTCAAGAGTCCCTGTCCATAGCCAGTGAGTCCCAGTTAGAAAACAAGGAGTCCTTAATTGAAAATGCTTGGTATGGGCCTTTTAACCAGACAGTTAATCTGGAGACAGACACCAAAACTCTTAATTACAGTTTACTGAAATCAAAATATAGTCCTTCTATATATTTAAAGCACAAAAAGACTAAAATAAGTATACGTCTTTAAACAACAGCTACAGAAATCACACAAAAAGGATATTCTACCAAAAAATCTTCAAATCGATCGTTCATCCTTTGCATCCTACGGAACGCATGCCATGAAATTATTATTTTGCGTCTTTGGGGAATTTTATGTGTAAGGGACGCAAGACGCAGAGGTAACAAAATCACTGGGGTTCAAAACCATTCCAAATAGTGCACCAGTTTAATTTACTGAGAAAGATGGTAACAAATATTGTTGATCGGTTCATACGTCCAGGAAGCCCCCACACAGAGTTGGGTAAACAGCAGACCAAGTTTGTGTGCTACAGAAATACAAATTTTAATGGAAAATCAGGTTGTTGACCCGCAAAGGTTCGATAAGTCATGTATTGACATGTGATTTTGGTTACTCGTGCAAAAAAGTTGACAATAGTTCCACAAGAGAGCTTATAATAATAATATAATGCTCGACTGAGAACGCTCAAGAAAAAGTTGAAGAAATTTTTTTTCTTTTTCAGTAACTGTGATCCCTAGCCTGCGAAAACATCCGTTTCTCCTCGCTCTTCGCCGCTGGGGACGTTTTGCGCGGAGGAACGTCTGTGACTCAGTGGCAGAAATTCCGTACTGATGACGCAAATCAATGTTTACATAATAAATCCAGTAGTCATGGGGTTCCAAATATTAATTTATCCAGTTTTATGTGTCTTCTGGTCGGTTTTGGTAAAGTGTTGTGTTCATCTGCCAACGAGCTCCAGCAAAACTCAAATACATCTTCTAGAGAAGACTATATTGCACAAATATTGACTGTTTTGTTAGAGATTCTTTGCGTTTACATTTGACCTCTTTTGTCTTTTGTCTGTCATTAGTAAACAATAGCTAAAACAATGTAACTACTCCGTCAACCAATCG